TGATCTTATTCCTTCGAAGATTTCTCCACTTATAGGTCAGTTTAAAAATTTATAGTCAACTTATAGTCAATTTAACAATTTTTCAAAAGTCATCAGATTGAACAAAGAGAACAGATTTTAAAGAAAAGATTGAGAAATATTAAATAAGGAAAAGAGAACAGATTAAGAAAGATTAAATAATTATTAAAGAGATAAGAAGAAAGATAAATTATTATAAAGAGAATTGTGACCAAAATCTAGTAAGTCACAGTCAAGTTCAGAAGCTGAGTAAGTAAACGTGTCAAAAAATGATTTAAAATAGAATACGATACGCGTGATTTCGGTCAGGGTCACTATACTCCTTCGTTCCTGATCAATTAATATACATATAAGTAGCGACAAAGACTCGCGAAATCTCTCGTTGTATAAGTGATAGTAAATATAATTCTTTACGTTAAAATATGGAGTGTTGTTATTTAGTGCGTGGGTCCTAATCCTCGGGGCGCATAAATTCCGAAAAGCCCCTTCTTTAGCGACTACGGGCACACTTATTTCTAAATTAAATAGAAAGAAGAGATAATAATTCTTTCGGAATTTATTAAGCATGGTCTTTTAAATAAATTATTAATTATTTTTTATTTGCTAACTTTCTTAAAATATTTACAAAATATTACAATATTTATGGAATATAATATTTAATTTCAAATATAACAGAAAATAGAATATAGAATATGAAATATGGAATATAGAATATAAGACATAACAGAAAACTATATCGAACGGAATATTAAAACTAATAGATAAGAGTATTTTAGAAACTGACACACATTTTATATTTTGCATTTTTATCTATTTTTGGTATTGAGTCTAGTTGAAAGAAAAAAGATTCAAAGAAAATGTTGGACTTCCGTAAAGCATTTCTCGCAAAAATTGGCGATGCGCACACAGGCGATCGGCATTTTGCCCTAAAGTTTAATCCGCACGGCAATACACGTTGCAATAATTTGTGCGATACGCAGGTGCAGTAACGCGCACGCACATCCCTCGTATTTCACGCCCCTTTGGTTTCCGCCAGACACAGGCCACCGACTATACTCCGCACGATGTGCACGGGAGTCTATTCGCATTATGTTCGCGTATCCTCGGACGCGGAATTAACGGGAGCGAGAAACAAGATGCGTACTATCGGCACTAGAGATGTAATAATGTAAAGTCGATTAAATTTATTAATATCAATGAATACTACATTTATCGATATATCAAAGCTAAATCTTCTTGTTTATATCTAATTAAACATTGTTCATATTTTACAAGAAAGAAGAAATGTGTATTTATGTGTATAATTATGCGAACGCAATTGTATATGTGTATGTATGTAAACGACAAGGGCAGCTTGAAAGAGAATAGTTGAAAAATTAACTAAATTTATTAACTCTACGTTACTCGCGTGGAATGTAAAGTACATTCCAGCCTCAGAAATCTACTTTTGAAGTAAAACTTTTTATATTAACTAAATGCTGTTTAAATATTGTTTCGCAATTAAATAACATCTTAAATAACACTCTTTTCTACTTATTTTTATTTAATATAAAATACTTCACGCGAATAATTATGTTTAAAAAAAACAACGTAAGTAATGTAGGGTTAATGAGATAGATAACATTTATTAAAATTATACTTTATTAAGTAATAAATAATTTATTAAGCGATAAATTTATTTCGTCCCCTAGTCAATTGTGCAAAATTAAAGTCGATACAAATAATATGGCATTTTTATACAAAAATTTAATTAAACAGTCTTAAAATACAAAGTGCATAAAAAATTGGGAAAATGATTATTTAAAGTAGAAACGCAGCTAGGAAAAAAAACATGTTACTGCGATTATCATAATTCCTCGTTAGAAATCGGATTATGTGCCACGTAAACATCTTTAACAATTGATCACATTGGAAAGGGATACGCTTGGATGAGAAACGCATCGAGCATTTCTGTCCTGTGTCCGAATACTATCTATGCGGGATCGTTATCTCTAGTTATGTACACGGCGTGTACATGCTTTGTTTACCGGAACGGATATTTGCACGACGTGTCCAAAGCGGGGAAGTTCGAATTGCATTGGTCAAGACTGCACCGCTTCACGACGCACGCCGACGTTCCGGTAGCAAACAGCATAAACACAAGGGCTGGAGGCGAGCAATCGTCCAGCGGGTTAACGAGCTTCAAACTATTAATGATAATTGTTTCGATGTGGCGCAAAGAGCAAATTTCTTCGGATTACAAATGTTAAGAAACGTTTTGAATTTTCCGGAGTAAACACGGAACTTCCTACACGCAAAGACACACAGGTACACATACATACACGCATTATATACATATACAATACATGGTGTAGAAATAAATCAATTAAAAAAGGAAAAGTTGAAAACAATTCCGCTTGTCAGTTTTGCGTAAATTGATGTTGAATAGCATCAACAAATTTTCTATCAAAGTGTAATTAATTTGACATTGATTTTTCTTAATAAAATTTTGACACATGCAATACTTTTTATTTAAATTTTATTTAAATAATTAGAAATTAATAGCTATAAAATTACTTTATATGCCTATTGTTGACATTTTATTTCTAAAACCTTATTAATAAATTATTTCTAAAACCTTATCAATAAAAATTCCTCTATTTAAAACTAAACTTAAGAAAACACAAATTGTTGAAAGATAAAGTTTTATTAATAAATTTATATACAAAATAGAAATAAAGATTGAATTTCATAAGATTTATTATTGTGATATGGATCTCAATATTGTAAGGTGGATTTATTATGCCGATAACAATGCGCTTTCAATAATATCACTAATTGAATTATATATGTGCTAATAATTAAAGCATATTAATTTCGCATAATATTTGATGTTGTAAGATACGACGAAAACATGACCCTGATTATATTTCATGTCAAGAGTTGAATATTGGTTGAATATATATTTCATATCAAGAGTCGCATATATCATTCTAAAATAGGGAAACCATAATATAATGGAGGATCAGGCCAGAGAAGAATGAAAGGGTTGTCAGGGAGGCGTCAGAGTCAAGGCATGTCGCTTCTTTTTTATCGATAATATATCAGCGTTCCGCGGTGTAGCTTTCGTTAATAAATCTTCCCCTGCGTATAGAATCTGACTCGGTTGCGCGGTTTGTACCGAGTGCATATAGTGTCGACGGCGGCGATACGACGGAAGATTATTACGGTACTGCAACCACATGATAGCCATATTTTTCTTCCTCCGTTGCCCTCGCGCTTCTGATCGTCGTCATTCGGCGCTCTCACCGGATACATCGGTACCGCAAAACGTTTAGTACCTGTCCCGTTAATAATATTTGCCTCCCGCCTCCCCCAACCCTGTCCTTCCCTCGAGACCGTCCTGACCTGTCTCACGAAAGTTTGTGGCACAACTGTGGCACATAACTGGCCGCTCGGGTGGCTTCTACAGGCTGATCCAGAATTACTTACACCGACGAAGTTCACATAAAGATTCTTTGATCGAGTCTTTGTTTTGCTGTAGAAAAAGTTTCGTTGGATATTACATTTCTCCTAAATCCTCTTATTTTTCAAAATTGTATAACAGGGTGAGTCACCTTGTATATCTCTTGGTACAAACAAAAATTAAATTGAACATAGAAATCCAATGAGAACTAAGTTTTTAATATTTATTATAATTGCTGAAGATTATTTGGTAAAATTTTTAATCCTTGCAATTTTCGGATTTTGGTCACCTACGGTAAAATTATATTTAGGATCAAAGAATCTTGACATAAAGTATATCGGTATATTATTCAGAACGCTTTCTCTAAAGTAAAATTTAATTCCTCTTTATTTATATTAAAACCTCAGTGCACATAATATGTGATTCTGGACAATTTAATAGCAAAATATTCAGATACCTGCATATAAAACAGTCGTATTATATATGCTTGTGAAATTATATGCGCGGCCTCTGTACCGACAAGCAACATCTGCAAACAGTCGAATCTATTTACCGTAATATCGAATTGCCAATATTGATTTGCAAGATTTAGTTAGATTTTCGTAAAGTCAATCGAAATCTGATCGAATCCCACCAAAGTCATTTTAATAACCAGATCAAAGTTGACTCGTTAAACATGTGCAATTATGTGAAATTCTATTTTAGATGTAAGTGCGCTTAAATATCTGTTAAAAAGCATAATTACGCTGAGAAATTAATTACATGTCCTCAGGTGAGTGTCATCGAAGCAGATAACAATTCCCATGGAGCTTCATGTTTCTATCACGTTCCATTCATGCTCTTACAGCGACGGCATTATAACCGCTTCGTATCTCTCTCGCGTAAACAACTGCCGCCTCATTATTTAGCACTTTCCTCATTAATAACGTCTTATTATCCAGCAATATTGTCTTTATGAAATAACCGTCAACTCGAAGCTGCAGCTGGTGAATGTTTTTCCCAAGATACATATTATAATTGCATTCATTTTGCACGTAATTAATTATTTCTACAATTCTATATAGCAGAAACATAAATGTTATATCTACAATAATACTTGAACTATAAAATTGCATGTAAAATGATTGTAACACATAATAATTTATTGTAATTTTTTCAAGTAAAAATCGATTTTATATTCCGGGGAGCATTACTAAAATTTAATTCTATTCTATATAAAACCAAACTATAAAATTTTTGCATCTTTTGCAAGATTAAGATCCTTTCAATGGATATTCGATAATTTGGCGCACACTTTAATTATGCAGAAATGCAATCAAAATTTGAGGTGGTACTTTTTGGGATAACAAGTTATGTAAAATCGATCTATACTTTCATCGAAAGTTTAAAACATCACCAAAATTATCATTAATTAAAAACTATTTGTGACTTTTTGTAACAATCTTTTACTATAACAAAATTCTAGAAGTTTTTATCATGAACTTAATCAATATAATAATAAAATTTCCTAAAAATTATTTTACATTAAACCAGTTATCGGTGCAGCTATTATAAAACTGTTTTCCATTAAGAAAAGTGAATATCCAACTAACGAATTTTCGATCACGATTCCATCTTCAAATTTTTTTAGACTATTATAAATTTTGTTTAAAATTGGTTTATCATTATGTTGAAATAAACAGAGAGTAAAAATCTTCTTCAATTATTTTCGCCTAAGACTTTATCTCGATAGGAATCGATTTTCTTTGCTCACAAGATGTCATCAGATACTTTTAAATTATTTCGAATATTATCTGAATATATTTATAGTAAAATAACTGACAAGGAATAAAATTATCACGATTGGAATTCTGTTCAAATAGTTCCATAATAACTTGTCAGTCAATATCTAGCTCTGTTTGTTAAGCCTTTGCCGTATTTTGCCGAATGCCAAGATCGCGGTAGCAGTTCCTTCCAATAAATTGCCCGTATGGTTTGAGCTTGGACTGATGGGATTTCATCCTCTTGATTGTCATCTTCTTGTAAGGTCAATTCTTTAGTAAGCAAATCACGAAACAAAAGCGCGAAGAAGTACAGAAGCTCCACTACACTGATGAAACTGAAGCCGATGAAGACACCGCATATACCGCCGATATCACCTGCAAAACGATTGTCTTTATGATACGACGTCTTGATAGCACGGGAAGATAAGATAATTTGTTGGAAATGGCCGAGTGTTTTTATTGTACACTTAAAAAAGCATTACGCGCACGTAGTGGCGATTTACACTGTAAAAGAAATAAGGCCTTTTTACAGCGATATCACCACCATTTTCTTTCCTTTTTTACAAGCTTGCTGTTCTAATCAATACTTTGGAGATCGGATGCTATCTTTTTTCTAGTCTAAGTTGTAAAAAACACATGTATACATATATATAAACCTAATAATTCTTTTATCAACTAATATAGAATTATTACTTTCCGTTGGTAGTTAATGTGAAAAAATTGTAACGATTTTTCAAGGTAAATTTAGATAAATGTACAATTTATTAGAATTAGTGTTGAAAAAAGTGCACATCTACTCTCACCGAAGCATCACCATTTCTTCTGATCTTTGTAATTTATGTATTAATCCCTAATACATATTCATCAAAACGAAGGATGTACAAAACCCTGTTTTTCAGAACGAGAGATTTTATAACAAGGAAAGTTTGACAACCCAAAAATTCGAAAAATATTTCAATTTTTTTTAACATTAAGAATTAATTTCACATTTTGAAAGAAAATTATAATCTCTAATTTCTCATTATAAAGGACTTATAAGATATCTGTTATATTTGGCTATCAAAGAATATAAATTTCCTAGATTAAGAGGATGATAATATATTTTCAATATTTTTCATTTTTTTTTGTTCATTTTTGCGATATTATCAAAAATATAGAAAGCCAGATTTATTTTGAAGAGGTATTTTCAGTCTTAGAATCATATTTGTCGGAAAATTGCTATCGAAAAATGTGATTAGAATCAGATTAATGTACTTTATTTCTACATAGTTTAGATTAATTAAAATTTTTAGGTTACTAAAACTTTCCTTGCAATTAAAACGTTTAAAATTTTCAAAGAACGTTATTTTCGATAAAATCTTGATTATATTATTTCATCAGTATGAGATAGAATAAATAAAATGCGTACACAATGTATATAATTAAATTTAAAATTCTGTTTCTCTAATTAATTATAAATTAAATACTGTTTTTTTCAAATTAACTTTTCAGAGTTATAAAAGGTCGAATATGTGTGTGTCCAGTAAACTTTTTCATGTTTTTCAGGAAATATTTCTCGTTTTAGTAATTTGGTCGCAAAGTATAAGCGCCAGCAACTAAAAATTGCGCTCTATGCGAAAAGTATTATTTTTCTTTTTTGCGCACATGAGAACCAGTGGTGAAACGTTATACACAGTCAGATATTAAAATTCCATTTTTGAGAACCCTCGAGTATCCTACAGAAAACACGGGCAGAAAATTTCTCTTCTACACTACTCTACCTTTGCTTACATGATATTTTTTATATATTTTATATCAACTGAAAAAAATTTGCTTATCGTTAGTTTTCATGTCAAATGCAACGGTGGATTTTCATAATTTCCTTCTTTTTTGCAATGTGCAAGTAATTAAAGCTGGTAAAGGCAAATATTGCAAGCCGGAGTTATCTTCAAAAATCGAATTGTAGATTTAACATACGGGACACGGCATGAGAGATACATTAGATATATTTACATCAAGTTTAATTAAACACTTTGACGGGACTGTTTGCATTTTTTATACCTGTCAGCATTATTTATTTTGCAAAATTATTTTTATGAGATTTTTTGCCAAAAAATTTGATTATTAAAAATTATTTCGAAAAACTAAAAAAATTGATTGAATACATAATTGCAAGATCTGTTAACAAAAAATATGTAAAGGTGAATAAAGAAAAGAATCTTATGTTCCTACAATTGATCTTATACTCAAAATAGAATGCGTTTTTATTTTATAAGTTCTTTTAAAATTTTTTTATTTGTTAAAAATATATATATATAAAAATTCTAATTTGCAGAATTTAAATTTGATCTCTTCATTCAAGTAGAACTTCTTGACAATCTGTACTTACTCATGAGTTCATACCAGTAAAAAGCCACGTCTTGTTTCAATCTGATTGTGCCGTATTTCGAGAAGTATACATGTAGCACTCCTTCATCAGTAACATTGTAATTCCATCTGAAATTATTCAACAAAAGTATCTCGGCGCCTTACATTATATATAGCCTATTCAAAGGATATTATTCTTCATATATATTGACAAAAAATTCCATATACTTACAATAAGTTGGTATTGTATCCACCGGAAGTCATGTAACTTTTCCAACTCAATACATCATAATTAAGATCATTGCAGGCAGGATAACAAATTTGACAATGCAAAGCGTTTTTTTCGTTTCGAAAAATATGTCCTGTATCCTCGTGAGGAAAAATCGTCAACCATTTGGCTGCCATAGGAAAAATAAAAAATCAATATCGCAAGCATCAATGACGTAATTAAAATTAATTTACTTTTATAATAAATTATGAATAATATAAATATTAAAGTTTTAAAATTGTTTAAATAAAAAAATAATTTTCTGCATTAACAATGTAATAACAACGTTTACATTTATACTTAGATAGGCAACTTAAGTCCTGGTTGTTGCAAATACGCTGCGCATCTGAAATATGTAACAAAATATACAATAAAGTTACGCACAAAACATAATTAGCATAAAGACAGAATATTTGTAAAATTAATAAAGTTCCTCTTTTCTAAAGTAAATTTTAGAAAATCAAGTTGTGCTCAAAACTTAATTGTATGTATAGCTATATTTTATCACATCTTTCCTATTTTTAAGAGTACATATATTACTATATATACTATAAATATATTACGTAATATAAAGAGATTTCTTTTATAATACAACTTTAGAATATCAATATTTTCTTTCCAGATTGCATAACGTACAGAAACATGTAAAGTTAAATTTTAATCTACATTCTTCGAATATAATTAAAAATTTGATTGCCTATGTTATCAAAAATTCCCAAGGACTTTTTTTATTTTTTATAATCTAAAATCTTCATCGTACCGTATGATACTATAACCGCCAGATAAAATTACGTTATTGTTACAAAGTTTTACTTTCAGCACTGAAATAAAAATACAAAAATAAAAATTTGCAAGAAACGCTGATACTTTTAAGCAGTATAAGGAAGGATGGAGGATACGTCGGGCAGTAGTGCGGGCGTCGTTGCACGTGTTGTTGATTAATATGGAGAACGAAGGAGGCAGCGAGAAAAACGACTCCGAGCACGCCCTACGCTATCGATGGAGCGCGAGAAAAAGAGCAATCGGGGTCGGCTTTAAAACGAAAGAACAGCAGAGAGAGGAGTGTACTTGGCGTTGCATGCGCCGCGTCGCGGCGCCGCCGCTTTCAGCGAGTTCCTCTTCTTCGCTAGAATCCCCGGCCACGGTAAGTTAATCCTACAGAGCGATGCTTCACGCGATCCGCTTTAATGCTTTAAGCCACCCGTGGTAAAGCCTCGTTAGAAAGCTCGCGAACGCGTACGCCTCGCAATGCGGCGCGCAACGTTCCTTTACAGATTGCCGCCCACGCCTCTCTCGACTTCGTGATAGAAGAAAGAAATCGCCGAGATGTAAGAGGGTGCACAGGTCTGGGGGAAACCCGATTTATCCAATAAGATACGATCTTTACCGTATAGTTCATTTAAATCTTATTTCTATAGTCTTGAGTCATACCTATTTTCAACTGATATAAAAAATAACCGCGTTTATCGCGGGGTTTATCTTCTTTTAAACACCGCGATTATAATTCTATTGTGATTAATATCTGATTAATGATTATTACTAATTTTATCTATAATTACATCTGGCTATGTGCTTTTTATCTTTAATCTCCAATTACATTTTTTAATTCAAGTTATTGATCGATAATGATTATCATTTTATATTTTAATTAAACTATAAATTAGTAAAACTAGGTCTATAAAACTTTATTTTTTATGTTTATATTTTTAAGTTATTTCTATCGTATTTTTTATTTAATATTAGTTCTGATTTTTGTTTTACCTCAATTTTTGTGACAAAAATAGAGAATAAATCGAAGCATGAATGAGAGATGTAAGAACGATGTGAGGAATTGACGGAAATCTTATTGGCTTCGAAAGATACGTTGTCTACGACGTTATCATATAGTTCACTCAAATTGTTTTCATTTTTCTTCTTTTATTGATTTTCCATTTTTTTTTCTTTTTTTACGAGAACGGAAATAGTCACATTATTATACTCAAGTTTTTAATAAATCTCGAATTTTTGTATCATATTTATATGTATTTTTTTGTATCTTAAAAGTCTACTAAAGTATGGCATAATAATAGATACTATTATAATATATTATTGCAAAAAAGACGCAATAATAAAAAATTAACATTTATTACATACTTCTTGACTCGTATAACATAAATATAATTTTTTCCATTAAAGAAAAATGACTTTCATTAACACAAAACTCTCTGTAAAATCTGTAAGTTTTATTAATTGTTTAATCCAATTTTATCAATGAGTTCTATTAACAGATAATAAATCATTACAATTTTAAATAATATTATATGGTTATTCTTCCTTTTCTTTATCGTATTTTCTAAAATATGTAAAGTTTGCTATCAAATAGAAGAAGATACAAGAACTAAATTGGATAAGTAGAATTTGAGAAGGAAACAAAAGGGAGAAGAAAGCAATACTATTTGCTCCGAAGATTGCTAGCAATATTGCCGAATCGTAAGCCTCGGTAGACTGTGATGCACTGCGAAGGAACACCAATGAAAGTAGTTCGCGCTCTTGTAAGTGTAAGGGTTTGCGAGTTCGATGTTACCGCTCGTTCTATTAACATCGAAACTCGTCCGTTGCCGGATATACGATTTGTCGGGGTCGATCAAGTTAGTATCAGTTTAGTTTTATCAGGACTTTCAACCGTACGATACGATTTGACTGATGGGTAAATAAAGTATCGCGATTATTATGACGATTATTATATTCTGTCACTTGACGATATGCTTGTCTCTACTAACGAAATATTACAGTTTTTTTATTGGCCGTGTTTGCATATGTCGATTTATGTTATATTTAACACAATTTTTTTACTGTGTATGTATATGTGCGCAAGCGGTACAAATAATAATACATACATGCGTAAGCATTAAATATATCAAATTTCAAGTTATGCGTATTTAATCCAAGAAAAATTTTTTTAAAAATTAGCATTAACAGTTAAGAAAATTAATCATGTATTTTTACTAACATTCTCTTTTACCGCGACGTGGGTAGAAAAACGGTCTGCATCCACAGACTTTTTGTATGTTATAAACCTTACAATCGACGATACAATCACTGTAAGTATACTTCTTTTCTTTATACATTGTTTCCTCATCATCGAAAATGCAGTTACGTTTCTCCCTGGGAAAATCCTTGATTATTTGGGTACTAACAAAAGCCGTCGTAGTCACGTCCACGTATGTCTCGGAGAGAGGCATTGCCAGTAGCTCCGTGACACCACCGCTAGTCATATCCGGATAATCGGTAGGATTAAACACAAGCACCTAAAAACCCAAGAAATATTAATTTTACTAAATTTTTACCTCATCTCTCTTTCTCTCTCTCTCTCTCTCTCTCTCTCTCTCTCTCTCTCTCTCTCTCTCTCTC